GACGCTGGAATTAAAGGGAGGAAATAACGGTTTCTACTCGTCACTCTTCTCCTGGCCTGTGACTGACACAGGGGGACTGACGCTGCGAGGGAGGAAAAAAAAAAGAGAAACGAAATGAAGACATAAAATTGGACTATAAGTCTCGGATTAACCTGATACCGAAAGGACAAAACCAACATTTTTTTTTTTTCTCATACGGGTTTAAAAGGCTGAACTCTTTATCGTGTCAGTTGGCTAGTGGGCTAATTTTGTAGCTAGCCGGCTAACAGCTGCCTCGACCGACGGCCGGAAGGTAGATGCTGGAAGGAGGAGTTAGCATTTAGCAGCCCTCTTTAGATCCCATTGACCAAACACAGCTTCAGCCTACATTTAGATTAGATTTAAACCCAACAGCTGGAGCTCGTTACGGCTTTAATTAACAGCTTTTTACGTGGATTCTTCTGTCGGCTTCATAGCTAATGTTGACAAACACCCGCCGCTGAGGTTATTTACTCATTCAGAGGTGGATGGTTGCTATGTTTTAGGTGGTTTAACACTGAAAGTTTGCTGAAATTGGATGTGCTGAGTCTGACACCCAGCAGCGAACCTGCCATGACAGAAAAACACATTGTGAGTCAAATGCCACCATTGTTAACTTAATACCCACTGAACGTGTCTTCTGTTTTAAGGTGACATTGTAGATTTGTTGGTTTATACTACTTGTTTATATCAAAACCACTGAAATTTATGTTTTATTTGGGATATTCTATCGTTTTGATGGCGTAAAGGGATTTCTGATATTCACTAGAAATGCAAAGTCCCAAATAACATCATGGCAGTGAAGCTAAAAAGCTGTTTCCTAACCACTGCAGTCAGATAAGTTTCTGGGCGGTGTTCATGGAGCCAACAGTTGTATCTGGCCCTCTGGGGCACACTCAGTGGGAGCCAGAGCAGCCATTTCCTCTGGGATTTCAAACAGGGAATTCAGACAGTGGAGGTTTGCTTAGTCCGAGCGAGACTGGTCAGGTGGGTTTGGACTTCAGGAAAGGAGCTCAGGATGAAACTCTCCAGAAATGTGTGGAAAATCCTGCTGCACTGGAAGACCT